TGGGTTCTTGTGATCGATTCTTTTTGTATAATGTATTATTAATTATTATAAAGTGTTTTGATTGTTGTTGTAGTTGTCATTTTTGTTCTTGGTTGAATCCTACGGGATCCTGTCCGTTGATCAAATAAAATTTCAACCTGTTATATCGTTCAGCTTCCATTTTTGTTCATTTTTGTTGTTTCTTCTGTTTGTGATTATACTTAATATTCAATTCGGGAAAGAGTATTGGCATTTTGGTTTGTTCGCCCAGTTCGGTAAGTTACTGTAAATTTGTATTCCATCAATTCCATTACCCATCGAGCGACTCGTGGTCCAGGATTGCTTTGCTTGTGGAAAAGCCATCGAAGAGCATTATGATCCGTTACAATTTCAAAAAGAGGTCCCAATAGATAATGACGGAATTGCTGTATAGCCCATACAACCGCTAAGGCTTCTTTCTCCGTGGTGCTGTAACGAGTTTCAGCAGGTTTCAAGGTGATACTTGCATAGGCTACAACTCGTTCCCTACTGTCTTGGTCTTTTTGTGCTAACATGGCATCCAATCCGGTGTTTGAGGCATCCGTATATAGATAAAATTTCCTGGTGAAGTCCGGATAAATCAGAATGGGAGCTGTAGTAAGTCGTGTTTTTAATTCCGTGAAGGCCTGTTCCTGAGTCATTGTCCAAATGAAACTAATATTGTTTTTCAATAGCTTAAATAGGGGCACAGCAATCTGGGAGAATCCTTTGATGAACTTTCAGTAATATCCAGCGAGTCCTAAAAAAGACCAAAGTTGCTTGACCGTACGCGGTTGAGAAAAATTCTTTACCTTGTCAACAGTGGTTGGATCCGGCGAAATTCCTTTTTCAGTAATTACGTGTCCCAAGAAGGGTAGTTTGTCCTTTACAAAATTACATTTCTCTCGATTTAACGTTAGTCCAGATCTTCTGATCCGTTCGAGTATTTTTCTTAGGTGATTCAAGTGGTCTTCAAAGGTTTGGAGTACACATTGATATCGTCAATGTAAATCATTGCACACCTCCAATTGTACTCGGCTAAGATGGTATCCATTGCGCGTTGGAAAGTTGCAGATCTATTACATAATCCAAAGGGCATCACGTTGAATTCGAATAATCCTTCCCTAGAGATGAAGGCAGTCCGTGACTTGCTCAATTCATCCATTCCGATCTGCCAATAACCAGATGATAGATCCATTGAAGAGAACCATGTTGCCTCTCCGAGATTGTCGAGCATCTCATCAATTTGGGGTAATAGGTAAGCGTCTTTCTGAGTTACTTCGTTTAATTTTCTATAATCTACGCAAAATCTTTTTTTATTTCCTTTTTTGGACATGACAACTACTGGCGAAGCCCACGGGTTGTTAGATCGTTGAATAATTCCAGCGTTAAGCATTCGTTGAATTTCGTCATGGATGAATTCCTGATCAGGTATGGTGGCTCGATATGTCCTTTGTCGTATTGGAATAGCATTCTCAGTATGAATTTTGTGTTGAACTACATTCGATCTCCCTAATTGATCCAAGTCGGTGATAAAGATACCATGGAAGTCATTAAGTAAGGTATTTAACTGTTCTTGTTGTCGTGGTGTAAGAGCTTTGGATTTAACAGGTAATGATTCATCATTGATATTTAGGAAGTACGCTTCTGTCATTTGGTCAGTTGATCCGAATCCTCCTGTTCCGCAGCTACTTTCTCCAAGTTCCATTCGACTGTCAACTGGTTGCAATGATTCGATCAGGGCTAATTGAATAAACACCGCTTGTGCGATTCGATCGTTTGGTTTAATGGTGTACAATTGTTGTGACAAGTTGGATAGGATGACACCAATATTTCCCGTGTATCCAGCGTCAATGGTTCCACCTTTTACATCGATTCCCTTCTTGGCTAAAGAAGACCGAGACATTATTTGACACATTGTTCCTTCTGGTATTTTCATGGCAACATGAAGATCTATCATGATGATCTGATGGAGTTCGATTGTTAGGTTCGTTTGTTCAGGGTAGTATAAGTCGAATTCGGTATCAGTGGAATGAGCTCGATTTGGTATAATTCCCTTTTCTTTGTCAGTATATACTTTGATCACATAATTCATTTCTTTTATTTCCGTTAATTGATCCGTTGAATCATCTTCCGATAGTTCTTCACAGGGGCTGTAGACACTCTCTTTATTAAAGTCGACTTCAGTACGTTATAATTTCTTTCGTATGGTCTGGAAATATTCGAATAGTTCAGAAAATGTCTCTTGGATTTCTGGAATTTTGAGGGTTGGTAGTTGTTGTTGTTCACTACTCTGAATATTATTCACCTCTTCGGAGGATTGATTAAAGGATTCTTCTTCGATTCTTTCCAATGTATTTCATTGTTTTTTTATTTTATTTTCGGTTTCAGTGTCAACTTTATTAATTTCTTTTCCCTTTTCTTTATCACATCTTTGGATATTCTCTCCTAGGTCTGGCTGTACACAATCGGAACATTGGTTGTCGTCGCAAGGTATTAAACATTCCTCACAAAGCCTTACATTGATATGGGCCAGTCATGCCAATTACCTTCTTCTTTCGGGCGTTAATTGTTGGTAGATTGATTGAAAAATTTCCGTAGCAGACGCTTCCTCTGATCCGTCATATTGGATATAACCTCGTTCATTTTCAATATCGTCTTCATTGATATATCGAGATAGGATCACCTTCCCGATTTAATTGCATTCCTCGTATACTTCAAGGAGTGATTGTCATTCTCGTAATTTTCAGATTGTACCAGCGTTCTTCCATCACCCATCCTGGTTAAACCAATAGATGCATTGGTGTTCATAGGTACAAAAATATCGTTTCTCATAACTCCCGGTAATGTACATGTGTCGAGCCTCGTCACGATTTTCACAAATAGCGCAAGCAGGTAGGTTTAGCTGTTTTTTTGTATGACAATTTCCGCATGCCAAAGCTTTTTCACTTGAATGAGTAAAATAAACCCAGCTATGATATTCATCCAGATAGTGTTTACATTCATTACATTGTTTTACTTGTTTCTCAGGGTAAATATTTTGCCGTGCTTCAACAAGTGTTGAAAAGATTCGTTCGGTCCGTTGTGCCTGGAAAAGCTCCCGTTCAACTTCAGCAGCCCAATCTGTTTTAGTTTTTAGTTCGGCTCAGTACGGTCGATGTTGCTGGACAGCAATCCAATCCCGTAGATCATTGTAACATTGTTGGCATCGCTGATAGTTTGTATACAGGCGCTTCATACATCAGCACATCTTATTTGGTTCTTGTCAGTCGAACGCCCAACGTTGTGTTTGCGTACATTCTTGTCGAAATTTTTCGATCAGTCGTTGGCAGTCATCCCAAGTGAATTTCCTCCACCTAATTTTCATTCCTTCTTGGTAAGCCTGAGCATCCCTAATGAATTTAATACTTCGAATAACCCTAGAAGGTACACCTTCCAAATCGACGTATTTCAATTCCTGTCTAACAGTATTAACCGGTGTCCAATTTTCTTCTAGTTTAATTTCAATATTATCGTCATCCTTAAATTGAACTTTCTTTTTCTGAGGCTGGATGGTAGTCCAATCATCTTCTGGACAGAACATTAGGTAAGATTTCTTATCCAGATCCTGTTCTTCAAATTCAGATTCTTCATCGTCTGAGTTTTCACTATCACTTTCTTCCTCAGATTCTTCCATGTTATTTTCATTGGTGAAGTTGGTGTGTTGGCCATGAATATATTTTATGGAGGCATTTCTCTTACGTTCATCCCAGTTAAAGGTAAGTAGACCCTTCTTTATATCTATCTTTGCGTTGATTTTGTTTAAGAAGTCCATGCCTATTACTACAGCGTATGTTCGGGCTTCGGTAACATCGACTTCGGTTGGGATTACGATCCCGTCAATTACTACTAGCAAGTCATCGATCGCTCCAAGTGGTTGCTTTGAATGACCGTTGATATCAGTCATTGAGACATTGGATTTTCTTTGGATCTTAATTCCTTGGCTCTGGAGGAAATGTTGCGTCGTCACACATCCTGACGCACCGGTATCAATGATCAGATTGATCATGATTTTTTCCACTTTGGCCTCACACCAAGCGGAAGTGGTCTTGATTTTTTGAAGAATCATTTCGGTTGTTCGTTTAGTAGTTTTCTTTTGAATTGGTTGTCTCATAGCTTTCGACATTTTTACTCGTTGAGCGGGGGAAGTTTCAATTAACTGGGTGACCGTTATGTTGGCTTTCATTATTGCGAGGTCGTCAGCGATATCATACGGTGTAGCCTTCGATGCTAACACAGGTAGTATTGCTTTCCCTTTTTTTTTCGGATCTTCTTCTTGTCGTCATTATTGTCATTGGTTATGATGGATGGTCCGGCTTCATCCATTTCATTATCATTAATATTATTATTATCTCCTTCTAGATTAATTTCTTCTTCCCCGATTTCTTTTTGACTACGGGTCATTGGTCAGTTACCGAGTGGATTATGTCGAGTGGTGGTCTTAGCCTTTCTTTCACCTGCCAGATATTCATAAGTAGCTAAGAGAGAATTGTTGCTGGTTGTTCCGTTTTGTAATGCATCGGTGAGCTGTTTAATCTGCATTAACAACGCCGTATTGGTATTGTTATTTGTTTGTCCATTGTTCGCTGATCCATTTGATGCATTTGGTCTGATATTGTTTTGCTGATGCGAATTTCCAGTATTCACATTATTACGATCTCACCAATTATATCCGCGATTATTCTGGTAATTAGCCGGCGAATATGATTTGGGACATCTGGTGCTAATGTGTCTCTCCTCTCCACAGTTATAACAGGTGAGTGGTCTTCTATTATTTTGTCAATTCCTTGTTGGATAATCATTCTGGCTCGTAGTCTGGTGATTCTGCGGCGTTTCTAAATGTTCTAACCTACGGGTTAGTACACGGAGAGCTGTCGTCAATTTATCGAACTGGAGATTGGAGGAGCTGTTTGATTGATGATATGGTCTTGTTACTGGTTCGGACTCAGCCTCTTCGACTTTCTTGGCTACTTTGATGGTATTTAACAATGTACCGTCAGAATTTATTTTCTCCCACTTTCGCAATTCTGGTTTTAGTCCATGACGGTAAGTTCTAACACGATTTTCGTTGTGTATATGATTTTCTGGGTCTGCTTTCCGTAGTAGTTCGTAGAATTTGTCAGTATATTCATCTACCGTTCCTGTTTGTTGTAGGTCTTCCAACTCATCCCGTCATTTATCTAGCTTTTGATGAGTCCGAAACTTCAGCGCGAAGTGATGTTTGAAATCATGTTCATCATGATGATTATTTGTCCAGTCGGTTAACGCAGTGGCATTGTTCGCTATTCGTTCGTCAAACCAGATAGCGGCTGGTCCTTCCAAATATCCTCGCACGATTCTAATCCTTCTTGTGGGGATGATTCCATTCGCTTCTGTGTCTACCTCGAAGTTTTTGAACCATGCAACTGGGTCTTGATCACCTCCACGGAATTTCTTCATTGGAATAATCATCTTTTCCACGGCTCTGGCATTCTGTCCGTTCAACGCGACTATCAGTTGCTGCACGACGTTCAACACGTCATTAACGTTGGTCATATTTTTTTGTTCGTGGGGTGGATTTTCGGATTCGTTGTCTTGTTCTTCGTCGGTTTGGCTTGTATCACTATCTTCGTTGATAATTGTTTCCTCAATGTAGATTATTTCTTCTTCGTCGTCGGTGTGTGGGTTTTCTGAACTAATGAAATCAATTAGATTCCTGTCTTCAATTGATCTTTCGGATCTTCTTTCTTCGTCACTTCCTTCGGTCTGTGTTCCAGCGTCGATTGTTTCAGAGTAACACTCGTTGGAATCGTTTTCTTCTGGATCCTCGTTATCGGAATTGTTCTGCTCATTGGTGTGGGTTCCAACGAATCTTTTGTAGGTGAAATTAATGAGCCGAATTTGATCGTCTACTACTAGATATTCTCCAAACAGGACGGTATTCAATAAACGAACAATTCTTTGGCAGATTATGGTCGTGTGGACTTCGCCGTAATTGTAATCAACCAGTTCTTGAAACATCTGTTGTGAAATACGGTTATACGATTTTGCTCCGGCGATTTCAATCCAAAGCCAAAATCGACGGAAAGGAAGAGTGTGTTCTTGGAAAGGGGAGTAACACAATAGGCAATAGGGTTGTAACGATGAGTTTCGCTCTTCTCCAGGGAGATGTTGTTCTAGATGATTATTGATCAGTTCGCCGGTGAATGTGTAAACCTCGTTCATTCACTGTGGCAGAATTTTTCTCAAATTTCAGAATATGGACGAGTAAAATCCACAGAGGGGGCACCAAAATATTATGACTACTCTTTAATTATTGTAATTAGAGAATAGTGAATAACACAAGAGTTTGAACAAAGACTGAATGATTTAC